ATTCAAAAAGGCAAAGGCAGACAGACAAGACCCATACATCATGCTCCTAGACTACCGAAACACACCCCTGGAAAACCTCCCATCTCCGGCGCAAGTGTTAATGTAGGACTCAGAAACAGCTACCCACTACACTAAACCAGGCTCAGACCCCTGTCAGAGACCACGTTCACCGGGAGGCCATGAATACGGAAAACGTGATCCAAGACAACAGTCACTGTCTCCCTCACTGAAGGTAATTTGGGGAGGGGAATGAAATGAGCCGCCTTAGAGAACCTGTCCACCACAGTGAGGACTACCGTCATGCCACTAGACGGGGGTAGGCCAGTGACGAAGTCCATCGCTATGTGTGACCAGGGCAGCAAAGGGACCGACAGTGGCTGGAGTAGCCCAGCTGGGGGTCGATTGGAGCCCTTCCCTGCAGCACAAACCGGACAGGCCGACACGAACTGATGAGCATTCCGCACCATGGACGGCCACCAAAACCGCTGCTTGATCAACATGCAGGTACGAGTCGTTCCAGGGTGGCAAGCTAGTTCGGACGAGTGGCCCCACTGTAGGACGCTAGACTCTCTGGGCACCCCGCGGGAATAGTAGTGCCGCGTAGCGCCGTGCAGACCTTGGACTTCACCCCCCAGGTGACCGCCGCCACCACCCGTTCGGGAGGCAGAATGGGCACAGAGAGGGTGGGACTAGCCTCAGCCTCAAAGATCCACGACAACGCATCGGGTTTACCATTCTTGGACCCCGGGCGGTAAGAGATGGTAAACCTAAACCTCCCGAAAAACAATGGCCAGTGAGCCTGCTGAGAATTTAGTCTCTTGGCGGTGCGGATGTATTCGAGGTTTTTGTGGTCAGTCCAAACGATAAAAGGAACCCCCGCGCCCTCTAACCAGTGACGCCACTCCTCCAGTGCCAGCTTGACAGCAAGCAACTCCCTATTCCCGATGTCGTAATTCCATTCCGGGGGGGTTAAACGATGAGTAAAGAAGGCACAGGGATGTATTCTCTCGTCTGATACAAAATAGCCCAAACCCCCACCTCTGACGCATCCACCTCCACAATGAACTGACGAGATGGGTTGGGTGTAGTTAAAATGAGAGCCGAAACGAAGCGACTCTTAAGATTCTCAAACACAGTCTGAGCCTGCGATGACCAACCATAACATTTCCTAGTGGAGGTGAGATCAGTCAGAGGAAGGGCGACCTGACTAAAGTTCCGAATGAACCGCCTGTAAAAATGGGCAAACCCCAGAAATCGCTGGACCGGCTCTACGACTATCTGGGGTGGGCGTGGGCCAATCAGCAACTGCTTTTACCTTGGCAGGATCCATTCGGATACCCTCGGGAGAGAGGATAAATCCCAGGAACGGAACCGACCATGTGTGAAACTCACACTTGTATACCCTTGGCGAATAAACGATTCTCAAGTAGCCGCTGGAGCACTCGCCTGACGTGCTGGACATGATCGCATTCGTTCTGGGAGAAGATCTCCACGAAGAAGAACCCCGCCCCCGCCAGAGAGGAAGAGAGAGGAAGAGGGTCGGATGATGCCTGTTACCTGAGAATCGTGAATATACCTCGTCATGGCCTCCCTCTCAGGACCGGACAGAGAGTAAAGACGCCCCTTAGGAGGAGAAGTGCCAGGCAACAGGTCTATCGCACAGTCGTACGGGCGGTGCGGTGGCAGAGATGAAGCTCGGGACTTACTGAAAACCGCTCTCAAGTCATGATTCACTGGCTCCTCCTGCAACAAAGAACGAGACATAACAGGGGAGAATGCAGCACCCAAACACTGAGCTAAACAAAAAGGGCTCCAAGCTAAAACAGAGTTGAGAGCCCAGTCAATGTGAGTATTATGTTTGACTAGCCAGGTGTGCCCCAAAACCACTTGGCCGGTGGGTGAGTGAATAAGGAGAAAACGGATCTCCTCGACATGATTGCCAGAGAGCGTGAGTGTAACAAACTTAGTAGCGTGGGTAATTCTGGAAAGAAGGGTGCCACAAAGTGTTCTGGCCGATATAGGCTCGGCCAGAGCAATGGAAGAAATCCCCAAGTGCGTGGCCAGCCCAGCATCCATGAAATTGCCCTCTGCTCTGGAGTCAATCAACACAGACACTTGATTAGCAGCCCCCTTGACCAGCAATGAGAACAACAATCTCTGCTGAAACCGGAAAAAGGGCACCAGATAACACGGTCACAAGTTAAACGGCGATGCAGTGTTGCCAAATATTGATAATGAAAACAAATAAAATCCGAAAAAAAAAAAAAAAAAAACCTAAATTAGTTCAAGTCTTTTTAAAATAAGATAAGATAAAGATATCGCTAACCCTAAACTGCAACTTCCCACTTTATTAACTTTCTAAAGTGTCAAATTAATTGGAAAAGACAAGTCCAAAGACGCTTATAATAACTGGATCTGGCAACAGTGTCCGCGGTTTTCCCACGGAATTGGGCTACTTTAACACCGTTGCCGTGAGTTGTTTTTCATGTCCGCGGGTTGAAGCGACCCCAATAACATGATAATTAGCCCCTGGAATGCGAAATTTACTGGGGAATCCCATCAAAAAACGTGTATTTTACCCCCCGGAATGCGATTTTTACCAGGGTACCTCTCCCCGAAACACGATTGGGCTAGTTTTGAATAGCAATTGGGTGGATTTTGTTGTGAAAACCTGGCAACCCTGTCTGGCAACATGGCGGAGGCACCTGCGCCATCAATTCAATTCAATTCAAGTTTATTTGTATAGCGCTTTTCACGATACAAATCGTTGCAAAGCAACTTTACAAGAAACAGGTAACATGTTTCGTAACTTGGCAATGTTTCTAAGATCACTCACAACTCTCTCAACCCTCGTTCACTCTGCGATCACTTTCACACCACGGACGCAAAACATTCTTGCAAACTGTCTAAACTGAATTATACATGGAGACACTCATATGAGGAGTTTTAAACAGCAAATTAGTCATTCAGAGAAATAATTTTATTTTTGAACATGAAAAATTCACTGCGGTCCGGACCTCGCTGACCTCATGGCTACGGCCACGTGACAGGATACCACATTCGATAAGGCAAACGGAAAAAAACATCATGTTATTATCTGTCCGAAACGTTATCAACGCTATCAAGAAGAAGTAGCATTTAACACTAGTACACAAATCTGTAGAACAATTATAGGTTACAGAATGAAATGAGTTATGCAAACACTAGCCATGAAGAAGTCTATGCTATTTAATTCAGTATAACGTTAGTAGATACATTTTCACAAAGTCATGCTAAAAACATTCATAAGAGCATTAGACAAAGTTATCATCAATATAGCAAGGGTTATTAATGAAATCAGTAATATGTATTGTTGCATGAACAATAAACAACTGATAAAAATATCCACCCTTAACCTATAGTAAAGTAGGCTATTAACAAATTTTGATGCAATAAATATGTTATAATTTAACATTGTTCATCCCTCCAAAACAGAGAAAATATATAATTTTATATGTAATTACGACGTCTGGTGCGTTCAAGTCACTTTGGTTGGTACAAGCTGGCGATTTAACTTTTCTACATAAAATTCAAAGATTTTTTTTAACTCTACATCTACAAAATGATGAAAAAGGAATGTGCATCATTATGTTTTTGCTTTTTCTGTTTTTATTCAATTTATGAAGGTGATGTAAACTGAATCATTATATATTCTATGGTTATTATACAATTATATAATATTTTATTAATTTCAACAAATTTACCATTAATACAGACGCTGCATATCTCTTGTCTTTGGCTGCACCCGTTGCATCCGACATGTTTTCTCACTGACATGCCCCCAACTCGGAAACTTGGGGCTTAAAGAAAATTTTGAGTTTCCCACTCATAATATCGACTTTGTGGTGACATTCATGTGCATTCAACTCGTAAATACGATTTATCCGACATGACTTGAACGCACCGTATCAGTAGCTCTGTACATCTGTGGTTCCCCCTATTACTAGGAGAGAGATGAAAACTTATTACATAATTTTCCCATACGGACACAGATCTAATTTTCATGCACTCAACAATAATTAGATGCTTTATAATGATATGATATTATTCATCCAATAATCAAAATGCATTATATGTAAACCAGTTTGCTTATACAGTGCCACTCATTTGCATTTCCATTCTATTTCCATTCAAATCAGACCGGTTGCAATTTTTTTAAGCAGCCAGTGGTTCAGGTGTGAACGTTGCAACATCCCGGTTGTCAGAGATAAATGTAATTACTATTTTTGGCATACAAGAAAGTCAGCAGTAATCATTTCTGTAAATAATGACCACACAAAGACCTTGGGGAACAAGAATAAACAAGCCCAGTGGAGGTCAATGGATCAGTGCTCCCTTTTCCCTCCATCCTTTAGCTCTGTAATGATTTTGCTTGCTTGATTTTCCACAATATAGTGGCATAGATTAGTGAAACTCACATGAAACATTCATCAGAGCTTCCTGACACTGAGATGGCAATGGATGGCTCCTTCCTGCCACTCACTGGATTTAGCTAATCACTCACACATACCCGCCACTGAAATGCTTATGCTGACCATAAATTTAAAGTAAGATTCTCTTACATTCAACAAAAATCTCATTACATGCATGAACATAAACATTTTTTTTTTGTTAACACAAAAATAAATAACTTACAGATCTCATATACCATAAACAGTTACTTCACTTCACACATTCTTTCCTTTCTTCTCTGTCTTTCTCCATTTGTCTGTTTCCTCTTAAATATATGACTTTATCTTTAATGTAGTTTTAAGGGGAAAAAAAGAAAAGAAACGAAAACAACAAAATCTCCCAGCAGCAGATATGTCAGCTGTACTCTCAGACTGCAGATGACTAATGTGTGCACAGCGGGTGATGTTAACAAACTCTTTGGCTTTCACAGAGCTTTTACAGTTCAGTTAGTTCAAACATGAGACATCAAACTGAGATAATGTTTTATTTCCTTAATTTTCCCACCCAAGAAACAGATTTCACTTTAATTCATTTGTTTTATTTCTCATCTTATAGAAACAGGTTTTCACATGAAGGAGTAATTGAGGGCTTCTGGTCTAAGTCCAGGGAATGTGAATAATTTCCTCTGATTAACGTCATGAAAGTGAACTGTGTTGGATTGCTATATTTTAATGCTCTGCTGGTTTTTTTTTGTGGTTTTTTTTGGCAGAGGAGGTTTATCTGTGATGTTTTGATTTTTGAATACTTATGAGTTTCACATAGCGAGGTTGCCAAATACCCTCCGTTTCATTTTAGGAAAACAAGAGATAATGTGTTTTTTTTACACCACAAATGCAATTTGAGATTTTTGTAAAGAGAGCAGTAAACAAAATGCCATGGTGTAGTATGCCTGCACTATGTGTATAAAATAACTGACTGGATTAAGTAAAATGCAATTTTATTACATGACTTTGAATTATTGACTTACGATTTTATTGCAATAATTTACTGTTGTTAGTAAATTAATTAATTGTCTTAAAGTATCACAATTGTACATACATATATCAATTTGCTACCTAGGTGAATTAAAACAATAAAGAATGACTGTACATGCATATTTTAAGATGAACAGATTCACAGTTCAACTTCAAAGTGCTTTGTATTTTAGACATTTTAATTAACATAGCAACATAGCAATCTTGTGAAAATGTGACTTCAGGAAATGCTCAAGAAACTGAAGAAAAAAAAAGGACTGATTGTCTTTACATTTCACCGTTCAGTACTCTAACCTAACTGCTCCAACAGATCTGACTTTTCACTGCTTGTATCACATGTAATCAGGTTATGTCATTACACCAGTAGGTGGCGACAAGGGACTGTCTTTATGAGTGAATCACTGATTCATACATTCAACCCATCAGGAGTGACATTTATGTGCATTCATGCGCTGATTCATTTAGGAATGACACAAGTGTCTTTATGAATGAGTCATTGAATCATTCACTCAAATGATTTGTTCAAAACACTAAGGGCCATATTTACTAACAGCTTGCGCCAACGCAAACGGTCTTTTGGCATTAAAATAGTACTGTCAGGATTTACTAAAGATAGGCAACGAAGAATTAGCGCTGAAAAGGCGTGAACACATTATTTTTGCACCTGACCTTATTGAATATGCATTTGTAGTAGGAGTTTCCCTTTTAGATGCAAAATTTATGGGAGGAGAGTATTAAAGAGTATTAAAATCTCGCCACGCGATTTACTAACGTTTGCGCTCATCAAATTACTGGTATATGCGCCATTATTCAATGCTCCAAAAAAGCATGTCTTAAAGCAGACACTAATTTGCACTGCTCTTGGTAGATTGTGTTGGTCGTTATGGAAATGATCTGGCTGCTTCTGTGTTCTTTAATTTGCGCATTGTCAATAAATCAACCACAGAAATTTCCACTCCCATTAGCGCTTTTTTGGAATTGTACTCTTACGCTAATTCTGCCATGTTTAGTAAATCTGTTGCTTTTGAACAAGTTCCACAAACAAAAGTTTGTTTGGGTTTTATATACAACTATAAAGGACACTTGCGAGAGTAATATATATATAAACATTCTGATGAAGTAAACCAAAGGTCCAAAAACTCAACAGATAAAAGTTAGTAGCAGCTACCCTATCTTCCTTGATCCTACCCTGCTATCAAATGTATCTCTATGTTTAGGCTCTCACACAATTCAAACAAATAATATTTGTGTTTCACATCTATTTTACACAATTCACATTGCACATCAAAGGTGTAAACTGCTTGAGGGTCATATCTTTCATTCAACTAGTTTGTGCAACTTTTCAAAACTTGAAATCATTGTTTGCTTTCACAGCTACTGAAGTGAGAATCTGTTTGAACACGTGAATTTCTTGTTTTCTGACTGCTAAAAGGAGGTTTCTTTGTACAAATGCTATAACAAACTTGTGTGACTGAATGTTCTCTACACATCGTAGTATGTAGGGCTTGTAAGGTACTTTTAAGTTTTTATTTATTTATTTATTTATTTTTACATAAAATGGTCTTAAAATAGTTATGCATTAATAAATAAATGTGTTTACTGTACCTATGTGTTTTAATTTGCGACAGACTTTGCATTTAAAAGGAGCACAGAATAACTCATGAAATGTTTATACGTTGTATTTTATAGAAAAACACAAATGTATTCACAGTACAGTGCATGTGTGCATAATTTAAGACAGAAAGTGAGCTGAAACAGCAAGCTTTCGGGTGCTTATCTCTCAGTTATTCACTCGGATGATGTCTGGTGTTGTGTGTAATCTACACATTGTTTATGCACACTGAGCACTCTATACTTCTATTGATTCTCATAGCCAGTATCAAGCTATGTAGAAGCAAATCAGTGATGAGGTAGATGATTGGTGTTTTGACTCATTGTGTCTCTGATTGGCTCAGCAGGATCTGTGATAGTATTAGTGATTAGGTAAATCCAGGAGACAAGCTTATTGCATTGCCGAGTTATTTTTGCATTACACCTGTAAGGGAGACACTGATCTCACCTGGTTTTCAGACCCACTTCTTACTCACTAGAGCAATGTGGCATACATCCTAAAACCTCACAGACACAGGTTTTGTGCATCCTCAAACCTTAATTATAAAAATAATACATTATTGAACAAATAATACATATAATAAACAAATGATAATATAGTGATATATCATACACTGGCAGCCAAAAGTTTGTAATAATTAAGATTTTGAAATGATTTTTAAAGAAGTCAATAAAAAATACAGTAAAACAGTAATATTGTGAAAGATTAGTACAATTTAAAACTAGATAAAAACATTTGTCAAGACAAACTTTAGGTTGGCTTAACTTTTAGCCTAGCCTGAAAGTTTAAATCAGTTGTAAAAGCCTGATGTTTGAAAATTTAGATAGATGTTGATAATAAGTTTCTAACATGATTAGCATGTTTAAGCATGATTAGCCTGTTACTAGCATATTGCTGGCATGATTAGCAATTTACTAGCATGTTTCTAGCATGATTAGCATGTTTACTAGCATGTTACTAACAAGATTGGCAAATGGTTAGCATATTGCTAGCATGACTAGCAAGTAACTAGCATGTCGATAGCATGATTAGCATGTTACTAGCATGTTTCCAGCATTATTAGCAAGTGACTACCATGTCTCTAGCACGATTAGCAAGTTACTAACATGTCGTTAGCATGTTTCTAGCATGATTAGCAAGTTACTAACATGTAGTTAACATGTTTTTAGCATGATTAGCATGTTACTAGCATTTTGCTAGCATGATTAACAAGTTACTAGCATGTCGCTAGCATGTTTCTAGCATGATTTGCATGTTACTATCATGTTGGTAGCATGATTAGCAAGTGACTAGCATGTCGCTAGTATGATTAGCAAATTACTAGCATGTCGCTAACATATTTCTAGCAATGATTAGCAAGTGACTAGCATGTCGTTAGCATGATTAGCAAGTGACTAGCATGTCGCTAACATGTTTCTAGCATGATTAGGATGTTACTAGCATGTTGCTAGCATGATTAGCAAGTGACTAGCATGTTGTTAGCATGATTATCAAGTTACTAGCATGTTGCTAGCATGTTTCTAGCATGATTCGTATGTTGCTAGCATTATTAGAATGCTACTAGCATGTTGCTAGCATGATTAACAAGTTAATAGCATGTCGCTAGCATGTTTGTAGCATGCAGAGGCGGACAGTAACTAAGTACATTTACTTGAGTATTGTACTTAAGTACACTTTTTGAGTATCTCTTTCACTCAAGTAATGGAGTTGAGTACTTTGTCCGCCTCTGGTAGCATGATTAACCATACCCATGCACGGTTTAGATTTGAATTTTGACAGTTGGAGTTTGAATAGTCTTGGCTCATTTGAACTTTCCGTCAATGTAAGCCTATGGGATTTTTATGATTTTTAATCTTCAGTTTTATGAAAACTATAAGTCGGATCAGTCTGAAAAGATATAGCAACCCGAGTCAGATCAGTCTGAAGAGCTGGGCTGAGTTTGGTGGTTCTTGCTTGAAAGCAGGAGTAGCGTTCAGAAATGTTACTCTCATAAGAAATAATAAGAAGCATAAATAGCAGATCAGAAGGTTGGCTTTCTCAAGCCAACCTAATAAATGTTTTCTGTTTGAATATATTTTAAAATGCAGTTTATTCCTGTGATGCTCAGTCTGCTCCCAAAGCTCAATTTTTAGCAGCCATTACTCTAGTCTTTACTGTGCCATGATCCTTCAGAAATCTAATATGCTGACTTGGTGCTCAATTATTATTTGGTGCTCAGTTAATTATTATATTATGTAAGAAAAAGTGAAGACGTCGAAGATCTTGATGAAGAATAACTTTTATTACAGAATAGTAGTGACAAAGTACATGTAGTACCTTGGGTTCAACGGAGTCAGACTGAACCCCGAACATCCTAAGCTCAATCATTTTAGACAGTATTACGTTCATCTTCCCGCTCAACATGTAAATTAAGTTTCGTTTTAAATGTAAATTGCGGATGACAATGAAAGTGATAGCCTTCCGTTCCCACATCTTCGGTAGACTCAGGTGGGAACAACCAAATGTTAAGGTGATAAGATTAAACAGAATCCATAGCAGTTATTTCATGTACCCTTTTGGTCAGCAGATGGTTCTTGACGACCTGCTGCTTCTCCCACGCTATAAGTGACAAATTATCGCTCCGGAGGTACTATTTACATATGATTAAGATCGGAAAGAACTATCTATATGATAATTAAGCTCTTTGTAGAGAAAGGAGCATAGTTTAATACACAATTTGGAGTGGAAGCTGGGTCGAGGCAGACTATAATTTCTTACAGTCCCCTCTTTGATGCTCTTGGCCCAAAAGAAGCATCACATCCACTCCCTTACACAGATTACACCTCCCTTCCAGGGCAGGTGCCCAGTGGCGGTGTAGCCCTGCCTTAGGTCGCCCCCCTCTGGCCAAAGGAGAATCTTACCCGTCTTTGGGTATACACCTCATGCACACTGGTTA